TCTTTTATATAGTTGATATGTTTCCCTCGGTTTTAGTTTGTAACCCGGATCTGTTTTCTCTTAATGGATTTATGACTTTTGAATAGCCTTACACTACTGTTGCCTTTATTTATTATCATATAAATAAGAAAATTGTGGTATGAGTGCCAATGAGACAACTATCCGTCCAAGTCACAATGTGTAAAAAGTAAACAATTATAGGTCAAAGTACGGCCTTCAACACGGAGCTTTTGCTCACACCGAACAGCAAGCTATAAAGAGTCCCAAACTGAATAGTGTAAAACAATTCAAACAGGAAAACCAACGGTATAATCTATATAAAAAACGAGAAACGAGAAACACTTATGAACCACACCAACAGACGACAACCACTGAACAACAGGCTCCTGACTTAGGACAGGTGAATAAAAATTATCTATATATAACACGCAGTTGTGTTCCTCAATGTATAGATGTAGCATGATCTAAGAAATCCTTTAGTTCAAACCGGGGAAAGGGGCCTTCTTCATTTTATAATGAGGTGTAAACATTTGCTCTGATCTCGAACCCCACTGTTAATTTGAAATGAAGTTTAATAATAAAAGCTATGATCCTTAGCTTTTGTTTTTTTTTTTATTTGCGTGTCTCGGTTTTCAATATGAATCAATATAATAGTTCCGATCCTTTCTTTTCCGTGGTAAGGGAACGTATTCTATGTCAAGGCTTAACTCGTGAGTAATTTTTAAATAATTTCCTCATTACATCAAAACATCAAAGGTGCAATACAATGATAAAACGGAACATTTTGAGAGAATCTTGATTTTTATTCAGAGCCAAGGAAACAAGAAAGATGCAGTTTTCGGTGTTAAAAAGGCTGTAGTCATTTTTGCTATTTTAGCTGCTTTTTGTCTTTGAGTTGGACATATCTGTACGCTTTAACTTCATTGAATTCCTTTTACCTATCAATTAACAATGTATCCCCTTGTGTAATGTTCTAGTATTGCATCATTTAAATAATGCAAAAAACTAAAGATGACGAACTGGCTCTCCCTTTTAGTGTATACCCAAATTCCGTATGTCCACTTGCAACCAACGTTATATTGCTAGGTCTGCCATTTGCGTCACGAAATATCTTTCCAAATTACTAACATCTATTTTATCAGCAATCAAAACCGAGTTTTATTGTTAAAACTACCTTCTCTAGAGGATGTATGAATCAGATGTGGAAGCTTAATAATTCAAAAGATCATTTCCTTGGAAGTTGTTGAAGAACTGACAGTTCTAACATTTTTAATTTCACTTTTTAATATCTTCATAGTGTGTGAATGTCAAACAGTGAAAGCCTTAAAGGTCGTTTTTCGTTTAATTCCCTGAAGGTTGTCAATTTTAACCATCTACTAAAACTATTAAGCAATTGATAACAATAAAATTTTGTTTTATGTACCATTGATGAATTCTTTATACACAGTAGACTTAAATTTTGAACTCCATTTTTCTCCATAGTTAGTAAGCGATCGATATGTAATACATCTCATTTTGAAAGGATCCTCATTAATTTTTTGGGGATACAGAAAACAAATATTTTAAAAAATGGTATAGATATATTAGTATCTACACAATGTTTCTTCTATAACCATACATGTATAAGGACATTATTATTTTCATACCTGTATAACATGTTACCGGTATTAAATTCCATACGCTGATTACAGTTTTTAACAAAGATAACTGAAAATGCTTCATTTTGAACCCCCCCCCCCCCCCCACCAGACTGTGACTTCGAGATGAAATACAATAATAATATAAGTCCTGTTCCTTTGTTTTCTTTCAAGTGCGTGTAGGGGTTTTGTTATGAATCTAAAAAAAAAGTTCTATTCCCTTATAGGGTAATACATCCTTTGGTCAGACACAACCCTTTAGTCATTTCTAAATCATTTCCTCATTACAACAAATATGTAATACTCGAATAAATATATTTGCATCTAAAATTTTGAGACGATAATCTATTATTTTATTAGTGCCTTAGGTGATCTTACGTATCACTATTTCACTATTTCAACCTATTTTGATATGACACACATGTCTTTGGAATTCTGAATAACGTAATAAGAGTGTGCGAAAATATTAAGTTTTGTTATGCACGTGTTTGTATTTGTTTGTCGTCCGACGAAATCAGAAATCACCAAAACAAAGACACGTGGTATAAAGACATTATAGCGTATCTTTAAACTGGAGTACTACCAGATAATCAAAATCTTAGCAGAAACATTCTTATTACGCACACGTTTTATGTACTAGACAATGATATGTTATTTCACTTGTATACTCAAGACAAGAAACGATTAAGGAACTCTGAAATACGAATGCAAACAAATTTGTGAAAACTGTATTAGAAGAAACACAAAACTCTTTATTGACAGGAAATCACATGGGAATCAATCGTACTATTTCAAAAACATGTTTACGATATTACTGGCCGACATTTAATTCAGATGTTGTTGACTGGGTAAAGTCATGTACATTATGCAGTCAGAGAAATAGGCCCATACAAAAACAAAAGCGAAACTAATCCCCATGCCGGTTCCAAGTGAGCCATTTCAAGTGGTTAGTACTGACATTTTAGACCCGTTTCGACCAACAAAGGTTAGCGGTAATAATTATGTGTTGGTTTTCATATGCTATATGACGAAATATGTAGAACTTATTCCAGTTAAGGATATCAGAGCAGTGACTGGCGCAGATGCATTCCTCAAAATTATAATTTGTCGACATGGAATATGCAAAACTTTCCATTCAGACCTTGGCAGTAATTACTTATTAAACATCGTCCGTAAAACTTGTAATTTATAGGACGTCAAGAAAACACAGACCACAAGCTTTCGTCCAGAATGCAACAGACAGAGCCAGAGAATGATGTCCACAATTTTAAGTTCTATATCAAAAAGGAATTGATGGCGATGAAGACAACAGGGACAGATTTTTACCCTATATTCAGTTTTCTTATAACAGCAGCCCATGTTTGGATAGTACAGAATACACACCGTCGAATTCTTTTTATTGCATGGACGCTATCCTAGGATATTATTAGACGTAAATGTCAACAACTTTGACATTTCCGTCAAGTGCCGAGATTACATTATTTATTTACTAGAAGGACTCGAGAAAGCACGAGAAACTGCAGAAGAAACATTAAAGGAAATAAAAAAAGTGATGGAAAAAAAAAGGCAAATAAAAGGACTCACGGACAAGATTTTACAGTTGGCGATGTAGTTTATGTTAACCGTCCTGTGGTCATCCCGGGAACACACCGAAAACTTCTTCAAACTCGGGTTGGATCATTTTACATCTCTCATAAACTATCCCCTATCCATGTTAAGATTAGGAGAAAGTCTGATCGGAAATTGATTATATGAGGGGAAATTGATTGAAACAGGGTTCATGTTAATAGGTTAAAACATGGGTTTCTATGGAAAGACAGGCCCATCGACCCCGAACCACCCCTAGGTGTTGATGCAATAGAACCCGTTATTTTAGGTGATGAAGAGATTCCTGCCAATACTTGTTCCCAAGACAATAGAACAGATACACACACATCATCTCAAAGTAGTGGCATTGTTTTCAATAAAGATTATAATTATACTGTTTATGAAATTGAAAAGATTTTGAGGAAGAAATTTGTGAAAGGTAAATGGTTTTACAAAGTGAAGTGGAGAAATTTTGATGCAAAACATAATTCTTGGGTAGAATTTACTGATTTAAATCAATCATGTCAAGATTATGTTACTTCCATGCGTACAAAGATTTAAATGATAGAGTAGTCAAAAGCAATGATATGTTAGCGCTATATTTTTAAAAAGTATAATGTTACCAGTGAATACACTGTCTATACCATTATGATTTTTTTTGTGTCATATACATTAATTTTATGTTTATTTTGTATGTTTCACTTGCATATTTTAGCACTAGCGTATTTAATAGATAATCATTATTTTCGTTTTTAATTAATAACACGTAAATGATAAACGTTTTAAAATTCACACAAAATTATCTATATTCTCATTGACTGAAAATAAATTTCTCACATATCAATTACCTGATCACCCATTGTTGCGAGTAAATTTTGTGAAAGTTGTATTCATGATATCACTTGTTTACATGAAACATCGATTTGAGTTATTTCTAATATAAAGTTGAATTATGAACAATAGTTCCCCAATGATATAAGACGCTATGTAACAATAACAAGAAAACGACGCTTTTTCATTCTGAAAAAAAATCATTATAATTATAGTCTTTTTTGTTATTTTAACTGTTTTATACCCTTGAGGTGTACATTTCTGTCCAGTTTAAATACCATGAATTCATTTTTCCTATCAATAACCCATTTACCCCCTTATTAGCATTGCATCAGACTGAGTTAAGTTATGCAAAACAGTACCAAATAAATATTTCTCATAATACTGTTATTAGTCATTACGTCTTTAAAACTGCGTATCATCGATTTCAATTTAGTTTTACTGCCTCTATTTGTTAAAACCCCAACAGTTGCTCAACATTAAATCATGTTTCTAATTGACTTCTACGGATTTAGAATTTTAAGCTTAAAGGCCAATTGAAAAAAAGTTCAACTTGATTTCATAAAGAAAAGCTAATGTCAACGCACCGAAAAAAAAACGCTATTTTTAGGACAAGCAAAATCATAAGTTTTTCAATACCGCTTTGTTTCAAACAAAATGTTATCTGCGACTGACATCGTTAAGAAGCGCAATTGATCTATTGACAAAATAAATTATGTGATTTCTTTCTCTTTTTGATTTGTTTTTTACCTTTTTCACTTTTGTATTTGTATTCCTCGAAGTGAACCGTGCGTTAATTTGTAAGTCTTTTATCTGTGTTCAAGTATTGTCATAGTTTTATGTAGGGTGTTTCTTGGAGATGGACTTTATGATTAGGGATTTGATGGAAACATATAGTACCTAAGGTTCTTAGTTGGTTATCTTAATGATGTTATATTGACTGACCTGTGTGTAAAAGTTAAAATAACAATGAAATCGTCCCTATCTTATACGCTGTACTGACATAGTCCACATATCTTGTTAATCATAATCATTAATGTAACACTATTTACTTCCCGTTTGTGTTCATTTTTCTGACTCAGTCAGTATAATTTCGGTGTGTGACCGATTTACAAAAGACGCTTCACTATGGTAACGGGATGCATGATGTCACAAATCTTTACTCTGGTTGGTCGAAATAACGGAATTGAACAAAAACCAACAAAAGAAGGTATATGCTACAATAAAAGGAAAATATTACGGACATAAAATCAAACTTAAAAATGAAATTATCCAGCTAAATAAAAATGTATTCAGGTAAAGTAGGTGTCATTATCACCTCGGGTTGGCAAAAAACCGGATTTTATGAGTATTGCCCAGGCCATTTTGTTTGGAGGAGGGAATTTTCGACAAAGGTCAAACGGAGGTCAATACAACTAATAAACAGTTGCACACGATATTTGTATTGTCAGCTAATTAATTATAACTCCCACATCAAGATTGTGATGAATACTTCAATTAAGAAACGTTTTTAATTGAATTGGGTATGTCATTAGGTAAGAAAATAAATGTTATTCATCAAGTGTAATCCAAGAGATAGATGACAGAAAATAGAAAGAAGAAAAATCCACATTTATTGTGTGATTTGTTTGTATATATAAATGACCTAGTTAACGATCTGAATATTCATTGATTTCATGACTACGAATAGATTTGTGTGGAATCCTATAAAAAGCATGCACAATGATTTGTATGTAAACATTATTGTTGCTTTGTGTGAAAGTCAGCTGTAACGTTTTTGGTTTAAAATGCGTATATTTCAGAAATTAATCAATATTTAAAAAATATGTTTTGATAACGATAGACCAATAACTAGATTATTCCGGTTTACATCTGCCTACGGTAAACGATGTATAAAGGGAAAATAATAAAAGTGTTGGGTGCTTGACATGACCTGTCCACTGTTATGACTCTGACTATTCGTCCGATCCAACACATGCATGCACGGTCTCATTTATCGAGGAGAGACACCGCCATTTTAGGAGTCAGCGTGATATCTTCCGAACGTTTTTTGTATTAAAACAGGAACATATATAAAAGGGCATCAGAAATGTTTAGATTGCATGTATATTTACCTTCGTGATAATATATTCGAGAATATATGTTCTTTTTTTTGTACAAAAGGATATCGGTATAGTAAACAATACACTGTATTATTTGATATTTTTATTTGTAAAAACATTATAGAAGAAATAATGTACAATGATAGTATATTTCAATATACTAATGGTCCTCACTTTTTGCGCGCTGGACGGCGGAGACCGACCTCCCCTCTGTCAAAAAATCATAAAATCGAGTAGTTGACATTCATATTTACTAGGCATATGAATATATAAATGGAAATTCTGAGAAGATATATCATTTCCCGTGTGTAAAATAGGATTTTTTAAGATAAGATAATATGTTGCGACATCATAGAAATAAACATGGAATTAGTCAACTATATCTACAGAGCAATGATGTATATCCTCCGCCAATTCCGCCGCCTCCTCCTCCTCCTCCTCCTCCGCCGCCTCCGCAAAAGGAAGACAGCCTGCCGCCGCCTACGCCGTCTCCCTCGCCGCCTCCGCTTCCGCAAAAAAGGAAATAGTCTGCAGCCGCCGCACCCGCCCGCGAAACGAGGATGCAAAACACTTTGTGTTTAAACATCCATTCACTATGTCAGTGAGCGGACCAAAATCCTGTGGCAAAACATATTTTGTGAAACAACTCCTTCAGAATGCACAATTTATACAACCTACTTTTCAAAGAATAATTTGGCTATACAGACGTTGGCAACCACGTTACCACGAAATACAAAGGACTGTTAATCCACATGTTGAATTTGTACAAGGGATACAACTTGATTTAATGAAGGATAGCTATCTTGATCCAAGTGTAAGAAATATGATACTTTTGAACGATTTGATGTCGACATCAGCAAAAGATCCTACAATAACTGACTTGTTTACAGAAGGAAGCTATCATAGAAATTTATCAGTTGTAGTATTAAATCAAAATCTTTACTTCAGTAAAGATCTTACGCAGGGAGAAAATTGTCATTGCTTGGTATTATTTAACAATCCTGTAGACAAACAACAAATAGTGACTTTAGGCAGACAAATGTATCCGGGTAAAGTACCACATTTGTTAGAAAATTTTGAAGAATCAGCTAGTAAACCATTTGGTTATTTTTTTCTAGATTTACAACAAACAACACCAGAATCGAAACGACTTCTTTCCAACGTATTCCAGCAACAATCACCAAAAATCATTGAAGTCATTCCTTCTTCAAAGGAGATAAAAGCAGACTAGAATTCAGTAGTTCCTTATTCTTACGAAGACGATCCTAGTGAGCAGACGCATGAAAGTATGCCCTCTTGTGACGATTGCGGAGTAGTGCTAGACAGTATGCACGATTTACACAGACATATCAAACAATGGTGACTAGAAAAAGAATCTTTAAAAAGGAAAAGTGACGACGAAGACCTTGATGACGAAAATTATCCAAAAAAAAAAAATGAAAACTGAATGGATTGAATATGATAGTGGCTCAGATGATAATAATGAAGTTGGGGACGGGAATATAGACGAAATGCAAAACCTTACTAAGTACAGCTATTGATACAACAGAAGAAACTTGGGATAAGAAATATGACAAGTATGTGAACGAGGGAATGAATAAGGACGACGCCTTTCAACGATGTAATTACAAAATACCCCTCTTGTCCAACAGCAGTTTTTTAAACGTTATTCTGATTTGTTAAAACTGATCGTTCCACTGAAGGAAAGTAAAGTACATTTTGGCATTGTACGACAAATACAGGATGCAGTTGACGACGATAAAGATTATGAAACTCAAATTCGGCGTATTCTCCTGAAAAATCGGCATTCATTTAACGAATGATTCGATAATAATTACTATGTAATAATAGTGAAAATGAGGCTGGCGACGATGATGAGGAGGATGGTGATACTGACCACGATATACAGAAAGAACATTAATGTATTTAACCTACTGTATTACACGAACTTCGTTAAATCCATAGTTATACTTGTGTTGACAACATGTGTGCATGGGAGAAATATCGAAAGGACATTTACTATAATCCAACAAATCCTGCTAGCTTTTCTGGACCAGACAAACTTCATAACTTTGTACAAAAAGAGAGGAAATACAAACTAAGTAAATATAAAATACGAAAATGGCTACAAAGTCAGGAACCATACAGTTTACAACGACCATTAAAAGACTGCAGAATAGAACGGAAATCATAGTTGCTGGCATAGATGACTAATGGTTTGTCGATCTCATGGATATGGTTAAGTTTTCAAAATACAACAAGGAACATAGATACGTATTGGTAGTCATTGATGTATTCTCCAAGTATTTATGGCTACGTAAATTTAAAAAAGGCGAATCAGTGGCAACTGCATTCCAAGACATATTCAAATTAAGCTGGAAGATTTCCAAATTGAATAAGAACGGATATGGGACAAGAATTCAAAGCAAAAACAGTTCAGGCAGTTTTTAGAATGGAAGGAATAACTCATTTTTATGCCTTGAACGAGGTTAAGACATCTGTGCATGAGCCTGTTAGAAAAACAATAAAACAAAAATATATCGCTTTTTTCCATGTTTTCGTACAAACAGTTTTACAGATATATAGACAAGCTTCAAAGTTTTGCAGATGGATACAAAAAAACCATTCATAGCACTATTGACATGTCACCCATGGAAGTGAAAACAGAAAACGAAGAAACTGTTAGATTATCGACTTCTTTCCAGGCCGGATTCTGAAAATTTGAAGAAGCATTCCCGCTTCAAGTTTAAACTTGGAGATAAAGTAAGGCTTTTCTCCTGAATAAGACACAAAATGGACAAGTAAGGATTTTACATTATCAAGAAGATTTTGGAGAAATATGACACCTTTTTGTCGCATCAAGGAGCTACCATGGAGATGGAATAGGTGGATCCTACTACCAATCAGAACTTCAAACAATTCACATCAAAGACGATTCCTTCTTAACAATTCTGATGCCCTTTAATATTTGTTCCTGTTTTAATACAAGACACGTTCGGAAGATGTCACGGTGACTCCTAAAATGGCGGAGTATCCCCTCGATAAACGAGACCGTGCATGTGTAGGATCGGATGAATAGTCAGACTCATAACACATGTAACAGTAGACAGGTCATGTCAAGCACCAAACACTTTTATTATTTACCCTGACGAGTGTATACATCGTTTACCGTAAGCATGCAGATGTAAACCAGAATAATCTAGTTATTGAAGTGTCGTTATATTCTTTAAATATTTATTAATTTCTGAAATACACACATTTTAAACCAAAAAAGTTACAGCTGACTTACAAATTATTGTGTATGCTTTTATTAGGATTCCACACAAATCTATTTATAATCATGAAATCAATGAATATTCAGATGGTTAACTAGGTCATTTATATATATATATATATATATATATACAAACAAATCACACGATAAACGTGGGTTTTTCTTCTTTCTATTTTCTGTCATCTATCTCTTGGATTACACTTGATTAATAGCATTTTTTTTCTTAAAAAAGGGAAGTTAAGATAATCTAATCGTTAAAATTACACCTGTCAAAACTATATCTATCTGGATAATCATTGTGTAATATTCTGAAACTACTTTATACTTATTAACTATAATTACCTAATGACATACCCAATTCAATTAAAAACGTTTCTGATTGAAATATTCATCACAATCTTGATGTGGGAATTATAATTAATTGGCTGACGATACAAATATCGTCTGCAACTGTTTCTTACTTATATTGACCGTCTTCAACCAAAATTAAAGCTGTTAACAGGAACTTATTTTCTGCAAAGCAATAAGGCTGCATTTAACCAAAATGCAATAGATCCAACTTGTCCTCTCTGCAATGAAAACTCAGAAACCGTTGAACATTTTCTTCTAGAATGTAGCTCTGCACGATACCCGTATACCATATACCTGCATGAATTACGTAGCTTTTAAAACTGTGCTAAATGCTTTAACCTAACCAGCTTAGTAATAAATGAACAGCTTGTTTTAGATCCAAGTAGATTATTATGCGCTTGTGACTGTAGAAGCAAATGTACT